AACCATATCCCAACTCTCCAAACATTCCTCTGAAGACTTTTATTTATTTATTTTTATTTATTTATTTTTGAACGACAGAAACTTTTCTTGGGCTCTTCCTGGATTTTTCCACCACACTTCCTGTTTCACATTGTCACAGTTGTGCTTCACTACAGTGCAGGAATGTGGACTGAGACAATTCGATTTAAACACTGATGTCTTGTGTGAAAATTTATCCTAAATCTCGAATCAGCAATTTTGAATGCATTGGGTCATGACCCAGATTATTTAATATTGCTCTACACTGACATCTACACGTTGCACTTATCTTCATCTCTTGTCATTAGAGRTATTATTAAAACAAATTATACTGAAAGCTGAAATTTCTGTGGATCCACATGCAGCCTCACAAGTTACTGAATAGGCTAAATACAGTACATACAGAGGCAATGAATAAACAATCTACAGGTGCAGAAAGTTATTTAATGACAAAATAAAAATGTGCTTTCCAACTGTGGTCCTCAGAACTAAATGTYTCCCTGCTTCACCACACCTGGTTTACATTAACGAGTCAGTGACAGGTCTTTGTAGAACTTGATGGCAAGCTGTTGAGATAAAYGAAGCAATTACCTTCTTTGAGTCAGGTGTGTAAAGACTTATCAAACATGTTTAGGAAAGTGAGCGCCAAAAGATTAAGAAACAGGAATGAGCTAAAGGCAGAAAGAAAACTAACCCACATAGCAGACAGGTGTGGCCCAGATCTGGTGTCAAGCTGGCAGTGCAGGCATGGCAAGTGGTTTGTCAACCAGATGTGGASCAGGTCTGGCTATGATAGCACTGTTTGTGTCATGGCATTCCATAAATGTGGTCCAGATCTGCCAGTACCAAACTGGCCCATGCATGGACCACCTTTGGCAAACTGTATTTTAGTCAACAAAAGGACCATCATTCTTTGCTGTATCTGGGTTGAGCATTACTACTCAGGTATAAACATTGGCTGGAACTGGGCCAGACTAATTTTGCGATGTGGAAACCAAAGCTAACAATACTGGCCAACTGATGGTGTCTGCTTTGTAGCATTATAACAGAGCTTCTTTCTGAAAGGACTGTGTGACTGCACAAGTATTATACATCTTACTTCAACAGACAAAGCTCTCAACAACCAAGCGCCAACTTAGATTGAAGATCTTATCATTACATATTTTCCTAACAGAGTACTTTCCTCTTAGACTGCAGGTTTGCTTGTGGTTCCCAAAAGTAGAATGCAAGGCAGAGCTGACACTCTTTCCACTTTTAAGACGAGACTTAAGACTTTCCTTTTCTATAAATCACATAGTTAGGGATGGTTTCCTGAGATGTTAGACTGCTGGAAGACTTAATTTTCTCTCTCTGTTTTTACACTCTCTACTCTCCATGTTTATACGTGCAGTAATTGCCGTCATTAAACTTTTTTCTTTGTTTCTCTTCTCATGTGAATATATTGTTTCATATTAAAGGAATTGAACTGAGATTTGAACCTGAACCTGAGTTGGATTTATGATTTGAACTTGTTTTTAATACTCTACCCTGAAATGACTTTTTGTTGTGAACTGGCTCTGTGTAGATAAAGTGAACAGAGTCGTATTGAGTTTTACCTCATCTAACGGGGGGACCACTTAGGCAGAGACACAGAGACAAGGCTTTACTAGACCTGTGACTACACTGAGAAAACCACAAACAAACAAACACATCAAGGAGGCTTCACATGTCCAAGCCGAAGCGATGTCACATGTCATTACTTTTAATTTCAAGGAAGAAAGCAAGATCATAAAGCTTCACATGAACGGGAC